TGGAAAGACAAAAATCCGAATTGAGAGGAATGCTTGGTAGTGATGAGTTGTTTGTTTCACTAATTGTTGTGATAATTCCCATGACTCCTTTCCATAAGTTTTAGAACCCAAAACAGTTTCAGGGCTATTAAATCAGTTTCTAAAAGACAAAAAACCTGACTGTGAGTGTGCAATAGCTGAATGTGTATTGCAGACATGTGGGCTGAAGTTGTTTTCTGACTTGCTAGGGTAAAATGCTTAAGGCTTGTTGCGTGTGCAGTAACCACAGGGTAGTGCTAGCTAAACAAATAACAAAATCTTACAGACTCTTCCCTTTGGAACACAAGGAGGGTTGATCAGTCTGCCAGCTTTGGCAAAAATGAGTCTGAAATGCTCATTAAGGAGCTGTATCAATATGTAATTTTTGTTAGTAATTACACACTGCAGCAGAGAATGCAAGAATTTGCACTTTGTCCAGCACTACTTTCTCAGAGTTTATGGCCCGGTGTTCTTGTTTCGGGGCTTGGTTTTAGCTATACCTATAAGATGAACTTTTCTTTTTCCCTTCATGTACACTGTGGTTAACTAAAGCAATCAGTAAACTGCACCAGCAAGCTTAAGATCTTCCAGTATAAGTTACTGGTTTTGTCATTAAAGCACAATTGAGTGGAACAGCTGAGAGGAAAATTTTAACAAACTTGTGCTGTGATCTGTAAAGTGTAGGTGTAAATCTTGAGACTTATGCAAAAACTACCACTTCTGGTAGGTTCCTGTTTTCCAAGTTTTTTAGGGTACTGACCTGGCTCAGGACACTGTTGCATCTTGAAGGAGAAATGTGCTGACTGTATTTGATTTAGAGTTCCATAATTTCTGCAAGATGATGAGATTTTGATGATGGTACATGGTACTTCTGTTTGTAGCTTACAGACTGGTAATAGGTGACAAACATCCAAATTTTTGGCGTGTAGGTTTCCTATAAACCAGTGGAATATAAGACCTGCACAAAAGACCTTCAAAAGGCCTAGTGACACAGCACAGCTCTAGCACAGCTAATGTGGCTTTAGCTAGAAGAGGCTAAAGAGGCTTTAGCTAGAAGAAATGAAGTAGTATGATATAGTTGTTTTCTAGAGTATTGTTTTCGACTTTGTCATGAGATATATGTGGACTTTAGTTGTTTTGCAGTGTTTCATGCCTTTATTGTGCCCCAGGTAGTGCAAACCTCACAGAAGAAACTGTGCAAAGATTGTAGGGGCAGCAAGCTGTGCCATGACCAGTGCTGTCACACTCGAGCTAGCTTCAGCCAACTGGCTTCTGTACTGCCTTCTGGATCTGCAGTCTCAACAGCAGTTGTAAATCCATGCCAATCTGCAATCCACTGCAGTGTCTTCACTTACTTAGGATTGTTCTTGGGGTTTTTGCACGGAGAACTGAATTTTGGAATTGCCAATCTACATATTGTCCAGTTCATTTAAGATTCTTGCCATAGTATTGTTTTGTGTGAGTGGTTAATATGAATAATTTTGCCATAATTCTACGAGTGACATTTATGTGCTTAATCCTATTTGGTCAACTAAACATCAGTGTCTCAGTATCTTCTGTCCAATTGATGCATCTGGATGAAAGCATCACTTTTCCTTTTAAAGCAAGGTGCAGTTGTTGAATTCCTAACCTATTCCTTTTAAAAAGCTACTGGTTTAAAACCCAGAACAACTCAAACTGTGGAGTTTGGAGTTGGAGGTTGTAAAATGCTGTTTGAACCAATACAGATGATACAATAATAGAAGTAATTTTTCATTTGTTTGTGACAACTTATTTCTCCTTGCACACCTCAAAGGTGAAACTTTTAGGACAGAACTTTCCCACAATCTTTATTTCTCTTTGATTTTTCTTAATTTATTTTTTTCCCCCCTTGTTGAGTCTCATGCTGGGGTGGGTGCCTGCCAGGCTGAGTGCTTACTCCCCTCCCCAGCAGGATGATGGGGAGAAAATAGCAAAAAGTCAGGAGAAAGTTACTGTCACGGGCAAAACAGACTTGACTTGGGGAAGATTCACTTAGGTTATTGACAATTAATAATAGAGTAGGATAGTAAAAAATGAAAACCATCTTTAGCCCTTCTTTCCAAGCTTATTTTCACCCCTGAGCATCCTAGCTCCTCTCCCTGGGGATGGGGCATGGGGGTTCCAGTCAGTCCATAATACTTATCTCCATCAGGGCTTGGTCCTCATGCTTTTCCCCTGCTCCACTGTGGGGTCCCTCCCCTGCAGTGGGATATGGTCCTTCACAATCTTCTTTCAAAGTGAGCCCTTTCCATGGGTTTCAGCTCTTCAAGAACTGACCTTACATTGTCCTTTCCGTAGGGTACTGTCCTCTGGGCAGTTACAGCTCTTGCTTCAGTGTGAGCTCCTTTCCATCAGGCACAGCTCCTGCCAGGAGCCTGTTCCAGCTTTGGCTTTCCACAGCTCCAGCTTCCCCTCTACCTGCTCTGGGGTGGGGTCCTCCATAGGCTGCAGTGTGGATGTCTGTCACACCATGGTCCTGTGTAGACTGCAGAGAGACAGCCTTCTTCACCAGGGTCTTCTCCATGGGCCATGGGGGAATCTTCTCCAGTGCCTGGAGTATGTCCTTCCTCTCCCTCTTAGCTGACCTTGGTGTCTGCAGTATTTTCTCCCGCATTTTTCTCACTCCTCTCTCTCACTGCTGCTGCACAGTGTCTGTTAACCTTTCTGAAACACATTACAGCAGGGGTGCCACCAGCATTGCTGATGGGCTCAGCTTTGGGAGAGGCAGGTCTGTTTTTGAGCTGGCTCTCAGAAATAAGGGCAGCTTCTAATCTGGTCCCACAGGGACCACCCCTGCTGCTCTCTGATACCAAACCATGCCCTGTAAACCTAATGCACACGTTCTATGTGAAGTGCAGGCAAACCTCCCCCTCTCCCCCAGTGTCCCCTGTGAAGGGAAATGCACCTTCAGTTATATTGACAGCACTGTGAAATGTAGTAGTTTATGTAAAAATGTCCTTTTAGTTTACAAATCTATAGTGCAGATGCTTTTTAAATAGAGATTAAGTGAAATAATGCATCTTTTTATTTATCTGACTATTAGGTGACAGTACTTAAGCATCAGCACAATCTGTTCTTTTTGTATGTACTTAATCTGCAAAAATCCCTCCAAATTCTGACTTAAAAATATAATACATTGTCATCTGTTTTTCCAGAAGGTGCTTTGTGGGCTTTCTTTAGGTAGTAACTCAAGTTACCTATGTAAAGAAGTTTGGTTTGCATTTGATAAGACATTTTTTCCCTTACTTCTTGCTTATTACATTGTTTAAGGGTTTCTGTGGAGCTTATCAGTCAGGCATGTAAGTCCTGTTGAATCTATAGGTGCCTGAATGTGCAGCTGTTTGAAATTAGATTAATGTTAACTTCTATTTTCTCGTATAGTATGGCCTGAAAGGAAGGCGAAAACTGAAATTCTCTTGGAAATTTCCTTGGATTTTATTTTGTGGATACACTCTATGAATGCTATCTTCTTGACATGGGTGTTGACTTTCTGTATTTCTGTACTCTGGTTTCATTTTTTTAAAGACTGAATTTTCCAGTGAAAAGTATTTATAAGCCTCGCCAAAACTATTCAAGTGGTGCCAAACTAAATTCACCTAAGGAAGAAGCACTTTGGATATGAAGAATTTTGCATTGTCAGTGTCTTAGAGAAATAACCTTCTAACTTTTATTCCTAAAGACATGCTCAGTCAGGCCACAAATTCTGGTTTTGGAAACCAGCATTTAGAATGGTACCTGGCTTGGCTTCCACAGGTATAAATCTGGTGTTCTGTACTTTCTGGCTGTTTTTCCCTGAGCAGCCAGCACTGCAGACACTCTAGGGTTAAGCTGAAGTGGACTTCATCAGGTCCTGCAGTTGTGAGAGGAGGACAGAAGCAGCATGAGCTGGTGCAGCTCTGCGGAGGTGATTTGTGAAAGCTTGTTCCAGGACAACTTTCAACTGCAGAGTATCATGTGTAATTTTGTGCGTGTACAAAGAAAGCACAGGGTAGGACGTAACCCTTGGAGGTTGTCATGACCATGTATTCAGTTAATACATCTGTTTTTGTGTTTATTTCCCATATCCATTAACATGTTTTGTTCCTTTGCGATTTACAGCGCAGAACTCTGCAAATGCAGGTTTTGCAAACTTTGATGCATTTGGACAGTCTAGTGGCTCGAGTAATTTTGGAGGTTTCCCCACAGCAAGTCAGTCTCCTTTTCAGCCCCAAAATACAGGTAGAACTTGTAGCACTTTTGATTAATACTTCATTGAATTAATCCTTACCTTAATGTTGGAAGGTACTGAAGTTGAGTTGTTCTTGCGTCTGCCTGCTTTAATGCAATCAAGCCATCTGAAGCTCTGGGGAAACTCAAAATGAATTCCTTCTGTTTGGTGTTGATTTTATTTGATTTTTTTTTTTTATATATATTTTTTTAATTTTTTTTCCCCTAATGCTACTCAGAAGTCTGATTTTATGGCACTGTGTGTTTGTTAGCTCTACACCTGAAAAAACTAACGATGAAAAGAGTAAGCCATACTGCTTTGGATACTTACTGGATTGACTCTTTATCTCTGAAGACAAGTGTTTCAGTAGACCCAAAAGCATATCACAGGACCAAACAAGTGTGTGTCTATGCATATGTGTGGCATGTGCACATACTTCAGTCTGTCTGACTTCACGTGTAGAGCCTATTGCTAAGATTTATTTTGCTTTCCTTTAATTTGACCATGCTTTAGAACTTCTGCTTGAGCTTACACTTGCTGTTTGTCTAGATCTTTGGCTGACTGACTTTCTTTTCCTTTTTTTTTTTCTTTTTTCTTTTGAGTGTGGTGTTGTTTTAAACTTTTTTTTCCAAATTTTCTTTCTCCCTCCTTATGTTAACTTTAACCCACACACAATTTCTGGCTGTCCAGCGTTCAGAACGCTTTCATCTAGCTGCAGTTTTGGTGAATTTACTTCAGCTTTTCCTCTCCAGGCTGTACACAGTAAGTTCCACACAGTGGAAAACTCAGCTTGCTTCATTTTATGCCATCGTAGTTATAGCACTTCCATTCCTACTGTCGCATATGTTTTACCTTGTTGATTATGCTGTTAGAAAGTTGTGTGTTCTGTAGTGTGAGTGGAATCATCAACCAACTGCTCTAAAACAATGGAACAACTTGGTTAAATTAAAGTCCGTGACCTGCCTAGATTAAATTGTCAGGACACTGAAGAGATGGAAGCTCATGGTTTCATATCTGATCTGAAGTTCAGTTGTGTGGACCCATATCAGCTTTCTAAAATTGATCTGTGTATCTCTGACATCAGTGGAGACTTGGTAGAAGAGCTGTGTTGTGTCTTCCCCCTCACCTCTTTTCTGATTGGATGCAGTCTAAAACTCTGGAGAACAGAGAATCAAACTCTCTCTAAACCTTGGCATGAAATCATGCTCCTTTTGAATTTCTAGGCACTGGTTTTTTGCTTAGAATGATGACTGACATCTGAAATGGTTAAACATTGAACCATTAAGGAAATGCAAATTGTAGCTATTCATTAGCACATGTGGCAGGAAAATGAAGCTTTTGTATTTTGACTATTAAAGGTTGTGACAAATACTTCTTTTTCTAGTAAAATATTATGGTTGAAATGACTTTTAACAGCTAAGAAATAACATACAGTTTTCAAGGTCAAATTGTGACTGTGATTTAAGCTGTTGAAGTTTGGGGGTTTTGTCCCTGATCTGCAGGCTGAAAAATAAATTTTAAAAATACTTTTTTTTTTTTCCTGATGACCCAGTGAACTTTGGAGGAAGTGGAAAAGGGTCTGAAGTGTGTGGGATGGGGTGGGGAAACATTGCCTCACATAACCAGGAGGAAGGGGTTATTGTGCCATCAGTTATAGGTGGAGAGACTGACTTTAACTTTGGAGCATTGATCATGTTTAACTTAAATTTGTTACAGGTGGAAGTGCTGGATCAGTGAATGCTAACTTTGCTCACTTTGATAACTTCCCCAAATCCTCCAGTGCTGACTTTGGAGCCTTCAATGCTTCTCAGAGCAACGCCACAGCACCTGCAGCCAGTAAAGCTGCAGTGAATAAACTGAATCTCCAGTCAGCTGACAAATACGCAGCTCTTGCTAATTTAGATAATATCTTCAGTGCAGGGCAAGGTATTAAACTTTATCCTTTGACATGCTTATTCTGTATGTGTACAGTGACCACAAGGATGGCTATGCTTGTCAAAAGAGTGACTTTATTTCTCGGAGTGACCAGGAGAATTTGCACATCAGTGTGTGTACTCTTTATGTGCAAGGTGTAAATTTTAAGACTGACATCATTCCAAAAGGATGTCATCATGCCACTGCTTTTTGGAAACCTGCTTCATTAAGATGAAGAGTTCCAAATTGAAATATCTGAATAATCATTACTGCAGTAATGAAAAGATATGAACATATAAATATGTGTCTTATATTTGGGCTAAACTCTACAGTGAAGGCCCCTGAATGGAAAGCTGCAGTTGCAGAGAGCTGCCAGAGTAGCTTTCCTGTCTCTCTGCCACAATAAGATTTGGCTGTAGTTTTGGGGTTTTTTTTTGAATAGGAGCAGTGATACTTGGATTTAGTTGATTTTAAGGAGAAAAAGCTACTTACTCTGTTACTCAAATGTAGTTCTTCTCAACTGGTGTATAAAAACCTGTGTTGATTTGTAACACAGAGCTTTGCTCTGAAATGGATTATTTGAGGATAGGTGTTTTAAATTTTCTAGTAGATTATGATGGATTATTTTTCCAGGGAAACCAGATGCTCTTTGGAGCTGCAGAGTATCTATAGAAGCATGACATTTTGCTAATAGCTAATGGCTTGTTCAACACTTTTTCCTGTATCCCTTAGAGCATATTTAATTTGTAAGTCTGAAGCTGTCCATCAAGATTGATTTAGTTCTGTCAGCAGGATGGAAAGTGAAACCATCTTCATTGCTTTGAATCTGGTTTATTTCTTTCTAGGTGGGAGTGAGCAAGGAAGTGGCTTCAGTACAGTAGTGTCAGCATCAGCAGGTCCTGCGTTGTCAGCCCCAAATCAGTCAAGTGCATCTTCAGACAAGTATGCAGCTCTGGCAGAGTTAGACAGTGTGTTCAGCTCCACAGCCACCTCTAGTAACGCCTATACTTCCACCAGTAACGTTAGCAGGTACTTTGGGACAAGTTGCTGACTTTCTACATTGACTTCAGCAATGTGCAGAAAAGCAGCTCCAAGTTGTTTCTCAACTCTGGTTTTGTTTCTCATCTAAATGGGGAAGTGTTGAGTTTGGAGGTACTATTGAAACTGCAGCCTTTGTTTTAATTACCAGCAGTACTGACTGATAAGGTGATGTAAGATAAAATTAAGAATACTGTCAGCAGAATGTTCTCTGCATGTTTGTCATTACGTGCTAAGCCTGTTAGCTGGTAGCACTTTACAGAATTCTTGCATCCATACTCAAAATCATCCCTGAAAAAAAAAACCAGGTATTTTTATTGTAGATGGTGCCACCCACTTCTTTTTGAGATCATTAAAGTAAGAAATACCAAATGCTTGTTAGCTGTTTGGTATTGCAAGTGCCCCTAATGGCCTTTGCTCAATATTCCTCCTCCTGCTGCTGGTGGAGATGATTTTTCAGTGCTCAGCACTAGTGAGAGTCTTTGACCCTGTGAGCACCAGGGGCTCAGTTCCCAGCATCAGTGAGTTACAGTGCAGTCTGCAAGCTGCACAGAGGTATTCATTCCCTTTCTTTTACGTGGCAGCAGTAATTGTACATTGTATTCAATTGTGAAACAAGCAGTTCTGACTTCACTGAGTGAATTGTCTGAATGATTTCCAGCAATGCTTTTGGAACAGTCCCTGTGGCTGCCACTGCACAGACACAACCTGCATCTTCAAGTGTGCCTGCTCCATTTGGAGGTGAGTGTCACTAACACCCTTGATGGGCTGTAAGCAAACACCCTGTTGATTTGGAGTTGACAGTGCTGTATTTTGACACTGCTAATATGGAGGTGACTATTATTGATGCCAAAAAAGTACTGTTGTTAAAATACTTAATTTGAAATGCATCTCATTATAAATTACTAATTTTTTATGTCATTTTAGATATTTGTGTCTTTGTCTAAACTTCATGTGAAGTCAGATGGGCTGTTTTGTAAAGACTGACTTAATGTTTTTCATCTTTCAGCAACACCTTCCACAAATCCATTTGTAGCTGCCCCTGTTGCCCCAGTGGCACCTTCAACAAATCCATTCCAGACCAATAGCCGAGGAGCAACAGGTTAGGAAAACACCCTAAGTGATTGAGAAACTTTTTTCTTTCTAGAATTTCATTGATTCTTTTTTTTTTGTGCCTGTGTAATTTGTTCTTTAAAAGATTTCCTGTATTATCTGTCTGTAGTCTATTTTGACATGCTGTGTGTTTGCTCAGTGTTGAGACCCAATCCTAGGACTTCAAGTGGTGGCCATGAAAAATGTCTAAATGATCTGTTTGAGCTCTGCCTGTTTGTAGTACTACTTGGGTACCTCCCAAGACTCTAACCTTGGCTTTGAAGCATGTTTTATAGTGGTTTGCCTTGAACTCAGGGGTCCTGAAAGTCCTGGCAGCTAGGCTGGTACACTCCTGGTTTGAATTTATTTATTTCAAAGTGCTAGCAGCTCTCACAACCACAGAGCTGGAGCTGGAACCAGGAAGGACAAGGCTCTTGGGCTGTTAGTTCTTCCTCAGTCCCCTTACTCCTTCTCTTTTGTAAAGCATATGTTTCATCTTTACACTCATTTTCATCAGTTTTCTGGGGGAGGATTCAGTAGAATCACAATTCCATTGGCAAAAACTTAGTCACTTTTTATAGCAGCAAATTGTTGCTGCTTTAAAGCACTGAACTTGGGTTTAGATGGCTGCTAGGTTATGCAAATTTTCCTCTCCAGAGGCACTGCTAAGTTTTATTTATTATCTGGACTTCCAGAGATGTAAATCAGCTGGTGTGTGCAGTTTGCCTTTGGGTTGTGCTTTGCTCAATGGTTTAGGTAGGCTGAGTTAAACTGATCTGACTGAGCTAAATCTGAATCGATACATTTCGTGTCTTCTGCTAAAATGAATTCTGTTTTCAGTCCCTTTTGAGATATTTTTCACTTAAACTTGTTCAGATACTTAATGCTCAAAATATCTTTTTCCTTACTTTGATCTCATTTTTAACTGTGTTGTTTTGGATCATCATTAAGCATTTGTAGCCTCTTTAGAGAAATGGATTTGAATGTGGCAACTCTATCCTCCCACCTTCCAAACTGCTGTCCTAGGCTTGCTGAGGTCCCAACCCTTTGGCAGTTCTCTTGATGTTATGTACTAGGTGGCAGAGATAATGTCTACAAATAAAGATAACATTCGACCCCTTTTGGTGGAAGGTGTGAACTTGTAGTTTATCCTTTTGCTCTTTCTTCCTGCATGAACTTTGCTATTTATTACATGGGAAATTTGTAGTGTTTCTTTCTAATAGTTTTCCTAGCTTAATCGATTGCCTGTCATTCTTTGGATGAATTGTTTGGTACATATACATGTATATATTTCTCTCTATATATATCTATATAAGTAAGAAATGACTGTTCAAGAGTGTATAAATGATTTGACATTGTCTGGTCTCTTTGTGGCTTCCATAAGGCCTCTCGGGAGCAATGCACTCTCACATATTTCCTCAGGCTCATTTTGGTAGGTGGCCACATTTAGTATCAAGTTTCTTGTGGCTAATTGTCCTTGCTTGTAAAAGCTTATTGATAGCTATCTGGTTCTCTGCACGAAGGATTTTGGAAGACTTTCATGTTGTTTAAAATGGAGTGGGTTTGGGTATTTGGCAACTGGGCAAAGGGAGAGAAGAGCATACATAGATAACCTGTTGAGCAACCAAAACAAAACCATTATTGGAATCCTCTATGGTCGCACTGAGAGACTCTTGAAGTTTCTACCAAGAGTAGTTTGATGCCTTTTGGGATATTCCAAGTCACTGCTCATTTTATTGTGCTTTTGTTTGCTGTTTTAGCAAGTTTGCCTGTTGAATAGCTTCTCTGCTCACTGTGACTTGAGAAGAGTGTTAGTACATTAGTTTTTTTGTGTACTTTGTCAACAGTTTCTGTATGTAATGTCTTGCCCTTGAATATTTTTGGGGTAAATTTTTCAACTAAGCTATATTCATTCAATGAATTTTACTAACTTTTTCAAACAGTTGAGCTTGCATAAAATCTAACTTGTAATATTTCAAAAGAGAAGTCCTGTCTAACTAGCATAGAATACCTGGTGTTTGTATTTGTACCAAAAATCCTTCTATACACTTCTCTCAAGAAGAATTCCCAAAAGACTGAATAATGGTTTTGTTACTACACTTCTGCACTTAACGAGCTCCTATTTATTTGCTGAAGGCATGTGGAATTGCCTGTGAGCTGTGTATTCTTACTTGAAACGTTCAGCAGAGAATCAGATGAAAAGTTTTGGGCTTTTTTTTTTTCTTGTTTTAAGTCCTACCTCAACAGTAAGAGGATTGGCTGTAGGAACTTTGTGTGCAAATAATGTGCATGGTGAGAATTTCCTTTAGAGTGCCATTAAGGATGGGATGAAGAAAGGGGATGCATGTATCCCTTTGATTTGGGGTTTTTTTAAGTGTAACCTCCTGGAATGCAGCTTCAAGTAGGAAGATCCTTTCATGCTTTTCTCAGAAGGAGAAAACCAGAGGGGCTTAGGCTGCCTGAACATGCTTGCTGCTGCTGTGTCCAGACTTCTACCAGAAAAATTCTGGGGGAAGTAAATGATAACTTGAGAAGAAAAAGTAATTTCCTTTTCAGAAAATATTTCTGAATGTGCTGAATCTAGTAAATGCTAAATGACTCCATTCATTTTTAAAGTGTAAATTATGCACCTAGTCGGTGATGGTCTAAGCTAAGAAATCAGCTCAGCGCCTGTAGAAGTTGAACCGAAGTTTTGTATGATCATCCAGGCATTAGGAGACTTTTAACATGGCATTGTAGTAGTTTGTTTTGTAGAAAAAAAGTGATTTCTTGCAAGTAATTGAGTGTTATTTTTTGCCTATCAGCAGCAACATTTGGTACTGCATCCATGAGCATGCCTGCAGGATTTGGAACTCCTGCCTCCTACAGTCTTCCTACTAGTTATAGTGGCAACTTCCAGCAGCCCACGTTCCCAACCCAGGCAGCTTTCCCTCAACAGACTGCTTTTGCTCAGCAGCCAAATGGTAGGTCTGCACATTTTATATCGTCTTGTCTAAGACAGAAACATGGGGAAAATGATCTGGCTGTGAGCTAGCAATAATGGGTGCAGATTTATTTCTACATGGACTTGATAATAACATTGATGAGGGGCTCCCACGCTGTTTTGGCTCTGTGGTTGAGCTTTCTGACTTGGCTGCATGCAATTGTGCAATGACAAAACGGAAATTTTAACATCATCTCATCGTAAAATCACACGTACTTCCAGGCTGAAAGAGTTTTTAGGCTAGGGCGACTGTTTTGGAGTGTCTGCAACACATTATTACACTTTCTCTAACTTGACAGAACACAGGCAAGAGAAAACTGGAAAGTATTTTCTCTCTAAATTTAAATGAGTGAAAAAATGCATACGTGGAAATTGGAAGTGGATTAGTTACAAGTAGTTAAAAACAAACAAGAAGCTTAGCTACGATTTTTTTACCTTTATGTATCTGATAATATTTAAGTAGTCCTGCAGATTCTGGAGTTCATGGTTTCACTTACTTTTGGTTGGGAGCTGCAGCAAAGAACTCTTTGCAGATTGTTTACTAGTATTCATATTTTTCACTTATCTTTCCAAGGAGCAAGTTTTGCTGCGTTTGGGCAAGCAAAGCCTGTAGTAACTCCTTTTGGACAAGTTGCAGCTGTTGGAGTATCTAGTAACCCTTTTATGGTAAGTGAGTTGGTGGATAATGTTAATACTTTATGTATGTTCAAAGATGTGTAATCTGTAACACTTAATTTAGAGAAACACAGAGATTTTGGGAGTTTTCGTACTTCAAGTAAGGGAAGGCATCATGTGACAGTGGATGAGAAGCTCACCATGAGCTGTAATGTGAGCTCAGCCCAGAAAGCCAATGGAATCCTGGGCTGAATCTCAAGGAGTGTGGGTAGCAGGTCAAAAGAGGTGATTCTTCCCCTGTACTCTGGTGAGACCCACCTGGAATACTGCCCACAGTTCTGGTGTCCTCAATGTGAGAAGGACACAGAACTGTTGGAGCAAGTCCAGAGGAGGCCACAAAGAGGACTGGAGCATCTCCCCTATGAGGACAGGCTGAGGGAGTTGGGGCTGTTCAGCCTGGAGAAGAGAAGGCTGTGTGGAGACCTCAGAGCAACTTTTCGATATCTGAAGGGCTTACAAGGAGCCAGAGAGGGACTCTGTGTTAGGAACTGCAGTGATAGGACAAGGGGTAATGGGTTCAAACTGAAGGAGGGGAAATTTAGGTTAGATATTAGGAAAAAAATTGATGCTCTAAGGGTGGTGAGACACTGGCCCAGGTTGCCCAGGGAGGCTGTGGCTGCCCCAACCCTGGCAGTGTTCAAGGCCAGGTTGGATGAGCCTTGAGCAACCTGATCTAGTGAGGAGGTGTCCCTGCCCAGGGCAGGGCTTGGGACTAGATGATCTGTAAGGTCCCTTCCAGCCCCTAAGTTACATGTTTCTATGACTCCTAACTGCAATTCAGTGTTATGATGACATGGCATTTGTAAGGCAGCTCAAACCAAAACAGAGGTACTTGTACACAGTGTTCTTACAGGAGTACAATTTCGGAGAAGCGCCAAAAACCAGACTGAAATATAAACCAGAAATATTTCCCGATAGGTTGTTTTCTTATTTTATGATTTGCAGTATGGAAAAAAAATATCTTAAATCCTGGCTTTATTTTTCTTTTTTCCTTTTCCCCCAGGCTGGTGCACCAACAGGACAATTTCCAACAGGAAGCTCATCAACCAATCCTTTCTTATAGCCTTATAGACACTTTACCCAAAAGAACTCTTATGTGGTCACATAACATCTCTGCGCCTCTTGCACTGTTGTCTTGTTTCACTGATATTAGCTTTAAACACAAGAGAAGTCTTTAAGAAGTTAAAAATAAAAGCCTGCATTGTGTACCTTTAAAAAAATTTTAAAAAGGAAAAAAAAAAACCACCACACAAAACCAAGAAAACCAACCCACCCACCAGGTAATAACGTGCAAACCAGAGGGCTGTGGTAACATCCTTGAACCTGTGAACTGGCAGGTCAAAAGTAGCGGTATCATGTATATTAAAATTGGCTAATAAGTTATTGCAGATACCACATTCATTATGCTGCAGTACTGTACATATTTTTCTTAGAAAATAGCTATTTGTGCATATCAGTATTTGTAACTTTAACACATTGTTATGTGAAAAATGTTACTGGGGAATAGATCAGCCACTTTAAGGTGCTGTTGTATCTCTTGGAATGAATGAGCTGCATCGTTTTAACCATTGGTATTGGAAGTCATGAAGTTCAATTGAAGGTTTGTTCATTTCTCAAAATGTTTTCCTTTCCTAAGAGCTCTTCTATTTATACATGCCTAAATCTCTAATGTTAGAGGGATACCTGTCTGCATAATAAAGCTGATCATGTTTTGCTACAGTTTGCAGGTGAGAAAATAAATATTAGAAAAAACAATTGCGTAGCATTATTTCTGTGCAGTGACATTTCTGGGATGAAAATGTACACACTGGGAGTCTTGTACACAGCTGAGGTATCCAAAGCAATAGGCCTGACGGTGAGTTAAGCTGAAAATTTTCACATGCCTCAATTGAATGTGTTTTTTTGCATCTTTGTGATGAAGCTGTTCTAGCTCAAGTGAAGGGACCTGTCAGACAGGAGAGTGTTAGGTGAGTTTGGGTTATCTTGACACAATACCTGTGATGGAGGACACTGGAAACACTGTAGAGGGTAGTTATTTGAGAAAGGGTTAGCTGCAAAAGACACTCAGTATGGGGAACTGTTGACAGGCTTTGAGCAAGCCTTAGTTGTGATGAGAACAGCATGTGTAAGAGCAGGCTGAGGTGCCACAGATGTAAGAGCACTCTTCATTAAAAGCTGGTATGTATCAGTAAGAGCTCCTGTGGAATATTAAATTTGTCTTCTTTTTAATTTGTTTAGTTTACAGGAGTGTTTCCTGCTGTACTAGAATGGAATTTGTCACCAACAGGTATTCCTAGGGAATCCAAAGCTGCAGTTGGCCCTGGCAGCTTTTTTTATGGGGTGGGGGAATGTCTGGCTGGTCTAATCTGTGATAGTAGTAACATTCAAGAAAATCAGAACTGTGTAAGAGTAGTTGGTGATGGTGGTTTCAGCTCAGGGATAACTTGGCTGAAGCTCAATACTGGAACCAACAAATAATGTAACTATATCACAAATACATGAACTGCAAGCTTAAAGGTTTCTGACCACCTGGAGAATACAAGTCTAACAGCTTTCAGGAGGAGATAACCATGATTTTTGAAGGTAAGATACTTGGCTTGGATGTTAGGTCTCTTTATTTCTAGAGCATCTGAAAGGCTTGGCCTCTGCTTGTAAGAACATTTTTGCTAATGCTTTTGACTTCTGTTGCCTGCCTGTGGGGGGTAGTACTTTCTGTGTTAAACTTTGGAGATCCTAAACTTCATGAGATGAATTGGATCAGTTAATTCTGAGTAACGACAAATATCTAAGTTGTGGTAAAGGAACAGAGTGGAATTGACTGCTGTCTGATCCAGCTGACTACAGAGTGGACATTATACAACACACGTGGAAGAACATTCCCTAATTAGCTTTAGTTATATTTAAACTTGAAGTCACATTATTTAAGACTGCCTTGTATAGCAATTATAGTGTCTCCCCATGGCTTAAAAATAAGTTCATGTGGGAGGTTTCTTTGCTCCCAAAGATAAGTGTGTCTGGGTTGTGGCAGTTGTTGGACATAACTAATGCATATGCTTATCAGGGCAGACACTCAAAGGGAAGGTCAGTGTGGTGTGAACTCAGTGAAGCTGTGACTGTTTATCTGCATATAATGACATATTTTCCTTCCAGTCCTGTAACTTCACCTGTCTGTGTTGTCTGTGTTTGGCCATTGGTACACCAAAGTGGGATTACTGCCATATCTCGTGGTAGTAATGTCTCATGTCCATGGTCTAGTAACCATGGTAGTGTTGGACTTTATGACCTTGGAGGTCTTTTGAACCCAGTTGATTCTATGATTCTAATCCACCATTGAACATACAGAGGTAGCACCTTTTGGGGAAAAAAAAATAATCATTTATTTCTGTTCATTAAGTTGCTTTAAAGATGTGTGTCACAACTTCCAGTTGAACAAGTGTTAACTTTCCAGAAGGCCTCTGTGGCAAGCTTTCCAACGGGTCATCTTGCTGCCAGGGCCAACTGCAGCTTTGGATTCCCTAGGAATATTTGTTGGTGACAAATTGCTTTTGCTTGATACACTCAGTAGAAGTGAAATTTCAAAGGTTGTGTTCTGTAAGTTCTGGTCTGAGGTTCAGGCATCTGTATGTACTTGTTGTGCTCACTGACCATTGATACAAGTTTGGGTATTGATCACTAACTCAGAGTTAGGGTTTGGTGTTAAACTACCAATGAAGTAGAGGCAAAATGCATTGGTTTTGACTAAGCTCTCTGTGCTGTAGGCTCATAACCACCATGCTTCACCATGGAGCAGTTGTGCTTGGTTGAGTTTTGTTTCTCCTCATTTGCTGGTCAGGTGATGGAGAATTCTTCACTACTGCTCGTAACCATTCTGTTTGTTTCTTGTTAATGAGCAATGCTTTCATCAGCCACACAGGTATTTCTGCATTTGATGGAGAAAATGGTGTATGTGCTTCTGATCAGGAAAATTCCAGATATGACTGTAAAGTAGCTGCCATAAATGAGAAACTGGGAAAGGGAAGTGGGGAAGAAGAAGGAGAAGGAAGAGTCAAAAACTGCTTTTGCTGTTAGGTAATATCTTAAGGGGTGTCCCTCTACTGCTGCCTTCTCTTCCCTGTCAGCCATGCCCAAAATAGTTCTGTCTTAAAAGGACTCAAGAAGTCTGACTGCTTGACTCCATACTGTAGGAAGTCTGAGGTTGTGAAGGAGAAGAGAATATTCTGTTCTGTGCTTCCACTCTCCTCAGAAAGGGAAGAGGACAGCTGTGCTGCACTTTGTCTCCTCTGAAAAGATGAAAGCTGAGAGTCATGGACCTCATTCAGTATATAAGTTTCAACTTGAAATTTAGAAATTTAATGAGGAATCAAAGATGAGTGAATTTTCAGAACTACAGTAACTTTAAGGGTGCATCCAATGGAACTATGTGACTTAGAATTACCCCAGGAACAGACCCATAGATTGCCTTGCAGTTTGCTTCCTGCTTCTGGTTAGGGTATTGGGGCAACAGACTTATGAAAAGTAAGCTTTTCATTAAAAAAAACACCCAGAGTAACAGGTGGTGGCCTTTGCCCTCTATGAAAATATTGTTAAAATTGTTGCAGAAATGCACAATTGGGAGGACTAGAGACAACTAGGTTGTAGTAGCTGATGCTGGTTCACCTTAAATGAACCTTTTTGTGCGTGTGAGTAATTGTCCTGAGCTCACACATGACCTAGTATCTTCCCAAAGGCTAATCTTGAAGTAGAACCCACTTTTGGAGAAGAGATGGGGAACTGTGTGAGTCGTGTAGCTTACCTGAGTGCTGATATCCAGTCCCAGACCTCTTGAATCTACTACAACAATGGTTAAAATTGTCTGAATCGCCAGCGCGATGAAGTTGTTGAAGCCAAACATCAAAGCATAACGCTCCATGCTCAGGTTGACAGCAATCTGAAACCTGGTAAGGAATGCACAGGTTAGCCAAGCTATGGAGAGCAAGGATGTTTCAGTTTACTTAGGGGAACAATTTTGATATGCACAGCTGGCTCTTCAAAGGATAGTCACTTCAGACTTGGGTGTTGAGCTGTAACAGCTTCATTTTGGCAGAGATTCCTTGGGTTTTCTGGCTCTCTGACTTTCTTGCATCCTACTTACCTTGAGTGGATAGTTTTGCTAATTATCAGTGTATAGTGATTGATCACTTGGAGAATAGTTGTACATGGATCACTGGCCAGTGAAGTGCAGAACAATGAACCTTTTTACTTGGAGAGGACTATGGTAACCATTAGGACATGTAACTTGAAGCATAGTTTTATACACGCTAGAGATAACATGCTGCTGTCATGACCTATTACAAATTTATTTTTAGGGAAACTTGCAGTAAAATTTGACACTGATTTAAATCAGTTTAATTAGCACAGTACTTACGTTGCTATTGTTATGAGGAGCATATAGCAAGCTTTGAATGCAAGGTAACCAGCATAACATGCCCAGATGTTGTTAGTGAAGTGCATGAGAAACAGAGAACCAGCATCCATTGCAGAGAAAATTCCCAAAGCCAGTTCTCCAGAGACATCCCAGTTTAGTTTGACATATCCAACTGCCATAGATGTTGCTGAACCTAAGAATTGAAAAAGTGATTACAACTCTAAAACATTGTTATCCTTGAGAGCCATTGCATAACTCTTAACTGGATCATGCCAGGAGGTCTTGAGTCTGTTAGAGTCACAGTGGGCTTTGATGATGACGTGGTTTATATTTCCTGTTACTGGTATGAGACTCTTCTGTTTGTCTGGGTTTTTTGCTCCTGGCTTACAGACCTTTCACTGACTGAAGTGCTGTGGGAAAGTGCCTCATGCCTAAGGCTGGAGGCAACAGTGCACAGTCTGTTATGGTCACTCCATCTTTTTGACAACTGTGAGCAAAGAGAAGAACAATCCCACCAAGCATTTTGTGCTTATATGTGCCTAATAAGTTTAGGTATTTCACGTAAAGGTCTTCATGAAGTGAAAATCTATTGCACTTCATGCTTCCTTTCCATGAAAGTGACTTTTCAGTTTCTGCTGAAAAAGCTTGTGAACTGCATTTGTCCATGCCTTATTGACCATCACAGATAGAAAAGCCCTTGTTTGAATGTAACATGGCATAGCAAACTCCATGGTTTTGGGCAGGCTATCACAAAAATTGGGCTTCGTTTGCTGGTTGTATGTGCTCTTCATCAGAAATTAGAGCAAGCCAACCCCTTTGGTCCAAGGTTCTCAGTATGGTGAGTGCCTTTTGTGCTCTGAAATGGTGCCCAGTGCCAGGGGGTGTACAAGCAAGGAAACTCTTGAGAATGCTGCTCAGACCAGTAGTCTGAGAAGTTCTGGAGTAGCTTCAGTCAAATTCATAAGATCTTCTTTTCTCAAGGCTAAACAATTACAGTGCTCTCAGTCTCTCTTTGTGTGTCCCAAACAGAGGCAAACTCGCTGATCAGGATGCAGATGCCATCACAGAATATTTGCTCAGGAACACTTGGCTTGAAATTATCTTTAATCCATTGTCTAATCAGACAATTAATTTAGAGCAGTGGATCTGTTAATATGTTGTTTTAGTTCTTAAACTAGCCAAATGAAGGTGTATTTGAGGGAGGAATCTGCAAGGTGTCATTCCCCACAGGGTATGGAACTGCTGAATTGGAGTTAAATTCATGGTCTAAACAGAGCTTTGAACTTAAACTCTTAAAGCACTTTGGAATGAGACTCCCCTAAGAAGGTAAAGCTTTATATCTATGTGTGTT